ACAAGCACAAAGAAGTCAAGGACAGTCCCCAGGCCTGCCACCGTAGATGGAGCTGCCACCCAGATGCTTTCTGAACGACCTAATCCCTCCTGGCCCTCCCGATCCCGATCCCCTCCCTCCGGAAGTTGGAATGGCTCGGTATGCTGATTCCTTCCTTATCACTGAAGACCCTAAAACTTGGCATACTCTATTGCTTCACTGCTGCCGAAACCTAAGGTTTTGGTAAACAAGACGTCCGCCTAGACGCAACAAGTCCAAACTCCACGAGTCTGCTTATCTTGTTTTACTGCAGGCGGATTCCAACGGTTTCTACTAAAATAAGTAGAGCTGTGTGTCCATAGTCAGCTCTACATGGGCTACCCGAATTACTGCAAACAGTATCTGGTCTGTTTTTAGGAGGAATATGGGTTTAATGTCCTTATAAGACGTTTATGTAAGCAAACGTCTTATCGTCAAACGTTCGTGTCATTAGTTTTGGGCTATGCAGTTGGATCTTCGTAAGTTGCCTTTGAACCATAGTATTTCCCTAAGTGATTAGAGTTCAATGTGTATATTTTATTTTTGCATCAGGGACTCGATATTGTCTGGGTTTGTTTTGTTAATTAGAAAAACATTTTAAACTGACGCGTGCTACTGAAAACGACAATCTGCCAGCCAATAAAAACATCTCCACTTGATGGATGAACGTTCATCCATCGCTAGCGGAACTCACTCGTCCAACACTGCCTTGCGGCTCATTTTCGAATCCCGTTAACAGTCGCACGGCGGCTAGTCGTTTAGGCAAATGGCGTTCCAGGCATTACGTTGTCCTTGTCTTGGTCGGCAAGACAACGAGCCCGTTGCTGGATGGGGAATGTTAGACTTCTGATCAAAAGGTCGCGGGTTCTAGCCTCGGGTGGAGCACCACTTGCCATTGGGCATGGCTGACTGCTGACACTGCTAATACGCCACAAATGGCCACCCCAGTCTCCCGTGTCCTTGTCGATAATGTTCTCCGCCTAAAGGAATTTTCACTAGATTGATAGTTGGAGCCCGTTTTTTTGCCCTAGCTCATATTCCTCCACCCATAATGCACATAGGCCCCGTAACTTCGGAATAAAACTTCGTTTTTTTGGTATCCTCAGTCCCTGTTTTCCTGCTTTACCAAAACCGATTAAATAGGACCTCAAATGAAATTCATCCTGTCGCCCCCTTTTAACTTGAGTTGCTTCCTCCCGCTTCTACAGAATAAAGTGGGTCCCAACTCGATTCCCCGGGATCACAGCGCACGGCGTGCAAAAATGC